TGAAAATCACATCTGCTGTCATTTAATTAGTTTTCATTTTCAGCCAGCCCCAGTTGCAGTGTGACAAAAGAGAAAAACCTCAAAGCTTTTCATTGTTAAATGTTCTGTTAGTTTTACTGAGTTTGTTTGAGGACAAGGTGACCAGTAACGGCAATGACCGACGTTGAAGCATTTTTTTTTTTCCTCACCCAAGTGTCGTCTTTTTCTCAAAGGAAACACGTTTCCGCCAGCGCTACTTGGATCTGATTCTCAACGACTACGTGAGGCAAAAGTTCATAACTCGCGCCAAAATCATCACATACCTGCGCAGTTTCCTGGACCAGATGGGCTTTTTGGAGGTAAGAGTTGGTGTCTGTAGTGTATTGAGACATCCAAGTTGACATCGTCACACAACTAATCAATTGAACAGTATATTTCATGTCTTTACAAGCTGAGGACTCAAAACAAACACTTGGGTGTTTTATAATGCTCCGATAGTTTGTAGGTTTGTTCCACATTGAAGGAACATAGACATAATCAGTGTAGCTTTGCTGAATCGTGTTTTCTGTTACTTTAGATTGAGACACCGATGATGAACATCATTCCTGGTGGAGCAGTGGCCCGTCCATTTGTTACTTACCACAATGAGCTGGATATGAACCTGTACATGAGGATCGCACCTGAGCTCTACCACAAGGTAATCCATCACTTTCAAGAACCGTCCTTCTCAGTCATCATTTACTTCCATATTTCTGTTCATTTGTTGTGAAATTTGTGTACAGAAATACATTAATTCTTTGAATACATCAACTTAACTTAACCCCCCTCAACTGTAATTAAATGTCTAAATATTAACGCTGCATATCAAACTTTTCCCACAGATGCTTGTGGTTGGAGGAATGGACCGAGTGTATGAGATTGGTCGTCAGTTCAGGAATGAAGGCATCGATCTTACACACAATCCGGAGTTCACCACCTGTGAATTCTACATGGCTTATGCCGATTACCATGACTTGATGGAAATCACAGAGAAACTGCTCTCAGGTAAGTAAAACATGGATAGTTAGCATAGTGAGAAATAGCTCAACTGGCTTACATACCAATGAAGGAAAGAAAAGGCAGTTATTAGCAAAAAACTTTTGTCAGTCTTGCTAAGATCTGACTTGACTTGTTTAGATTGTCTTTGTTACAGGTGTCCTTTAACATCCAGTTTGACAAGTGAAACTCAAAACATGAAGCTGTCACATCAGATGCAACAAGAGCCGACCTGTTTGCACCTGTTTAAGAGGCCACGGCAGTCTCCTAACTAATGTGTCCATTTAGGATAAGGAGACTATTCCATATAAAGAAATTCTTTAGAGTATGAAGTCGGTAATGAGCTATTTTAATATATGAATCGGCCAGAGGGCCATTTCTTCTGAGTTTTGTCGCAGGAAAGGTCTCCACTGAGCTGCTCTGGTTAACTCAGCGGTGCCCTCTTTGCTTCAGGAATGGTGAAACACATCACTGGAGGATACAAGGTGATTTATCACCCCGATGGTCCGGAGGGACAGGCCCAAGAGATTGACTTCACGCCGCCATTCAGGAGAGTGAGCATGACACACGACCTGGAGAAGATCATGGGAGTGAAGTTCCCTCCTACTGACAGCTACGACAGTGATGGTGAGAGCCTGTAGAGATGTACAGATGGACTTTATGTGAGAAGACGACTGCCTCTGAAATGTTAGAGAAGCTTTTGTTTCTGTGACATTCTCCATCTCTCACATGTTCTCTCTCACAAATACAGGGTTTAGCCTTCATGTCATTTCTATATTTCAAATGTTTTTATTCTAACAGCAGATTCCTCTCTTTCACTCTTTTGTCTTCAGAGACGCGTAAATTCTTTGACGACCTGTGTGCACAGAAAGGAGTTGAATGTCCTCCACCCAGAACCACGGCCCGCCTCCTTGACAAGGTGCTCCATTGATGAACATCAGCATCTGTTTTTTGTCGCTTTATTCCTTTTATTTATTTTACTGTGAGGTCTTTACTAATAGTTTTTCTCCACAGTTGGTTGGAGATTTCCTTGAGGTCACCTGTATCAACCCCACATTCATCTGTGAACACCCTCAAATCATGAGTCCCTTGGCAAAATGGTGAGAAACGCCTCATTTCATCCTCATATCTACCCTTTAAAGATGTGATGCTCAGGTTCATGCTGACACTGCTTTAATTATTACAGGCACAGATCACAGAAGGGCCTGACGGAGCGTTTTGAGCTCTTTGTGATGAAGAAGGAAATCTGCAATGCTTACACTGAGTTGAATGATCCGATTAGACAGAGGGAGCTTTTCGAGCAGCAATCCATGGTGTGTATAGAATGATGATACATGGTCACATCATAAAGGTTAAGGCTCTGTATTGTTACAGTGTGAGTGTATATATTGGTGCATGTTAATCATTTTCATGGTGGATCTTTTTCAGGCCAAAGCAGAGGGCGACGATGAGGCCATGTTCATTGATGAGACCTTCTGCACCGCTCTGGAATATGGACTGCCACCAACTGCCGGCTGGGGGATGGGCATCGATCGTCTAACCATGTTCCTCACCGACTCCAACAACATCAAGGTAAAGCTGTCGTATGAATCATGATGCTAGCACATGCATGTCATGTTTCAGTCCTTGTACCACAACGACAAACTACATAAGAGGAAATGTGGTGTGTTGACCACTAGTAGTGCTCTGGAGCTGTTTTTCTATGAGGGGGTCCCCCTTTTGTTTGTCAAAATGTTTCGATACATCATACATTTGTTTCTCACTGTGGCTATCTGCTTTGTTTTTAAAACACAGCATATTTGTAATGATTCATAATAAAAACAGACTTCAGCATGTTCTGAATCATTCGGCATAACAAGCTGCCCTTATTCACAAATACACAATACAGACTTCTCTTCTAACCAATCCCCTGTCATAGGCAATGAGCAGTCAGCTCTCATACAGAAATAACGCTTTCTGGAACATGTGATAAAACTATACATACAGGGATAAAGTGCACAGTTACGGTGACACAAGATTCTGTAGCAACGGATGTCCTGCATAGCGTATTTCTACCATCCTCCCCACTTTCCTCAGTGCTTCCATGACTATCTTTGGTTTGTTTGTAGGGTACACAGCGAGACTCTTTCAGGTACATGGTAGGCTTGTTGCTGATCATGCAGGTAATCTGTGTGACCACATGACGCCTTCCCTCAGTGCGTTGTCCTCATTAGGATTTTAGGCTTTGTTCAGACTGAAAAACAGAAGAACACATTAACGGGACACAGGGGTTAAAGAGATAACATCATCAAGAAAGTCCTCTTTGATGTACACGCTGTAAGAGTTAGAAACCCTCAGCTGACAGTTTTGTTCTCTCACAGGAGGTGTTGCTCTTCCCAGCGATGAAGCCTGACGACAACAAGCCGGCGCCCACAGAGGGCACCTCCGTCTAATGACGGGACCACTCCTGCTGTCACATCTGTGCAGGAGTCCGTCTGGAGTAGGAGCATTTACCTCACTGTGGTCATCGGCGGAGCCTGCAGCCTTTTTGTTTTATCAATGTTAAGTCTGTCAAAGGTTTTGATTGTTGATTTCGTTAAGGGAAATCTTCTTGTCTCAGTATACGATGACAAATGCTTCTTTTTCTCCTTTTGTATTTCTTACACGTTTGTGATCATATTTGCTGCGTCCTCCTCGAGTGATTGTAAGGAGACGTGTTAATCCTCACTGTCACCCAGACGATAAATGGATAGTATTTGATCAGGAAATCATTTGTGATCTGCTGTTGTATGCAACCTTCTACGAATTATTTTTGAATATACTTTGAGATATTTCACAGGGTGCTTGATTCTGGCTACCAGATACACGTAGATACACCACATAATAACACTCGGCCACCTGTGCTCAGTGTATCCATCTGTTTCACCAGCTCTGCTTGTATGCCATGTCTGAGACTTTTTGAGCAAGACTCCACAAATTCAATATTCCTCTGCTAAGAAGTTTAAACAAGACTGTCAGAATAAAGTCAATATGAATCAACTTTGTTTGCTCTCTTGTGATGTTTTTGGTCCGTTTACAGAACATTTAATGTATTTTAAGAGTTTACAGAATATGATTTAGGATTTTGGTGGCTTTGAGGCTCATGGATTGTAGTAATAGTAACTATCTTCTCTTTACATGAAAAAAGCTATTTGAATAATGATCTACATGAATTCTAGACTGATACTTTCTTTAGTGCTGGGGAGGAAATTCTCTTTGACTCTTCCACTGGGACAGAGCATAGAGTGGCATAATTACACTGACCTTGCAGCTGAATAAATAGCTTAATCAACATTTACAGCAAGACAATAATTAAGCATACAATTATAATGAAATGCCAGTAAGAAATATTTTTTCATTCGGCTGTCTTTAGATACCTTCATATTTAAATTAAATGAGAAAAGCTACTTTAAAAAGACAATCTTTAAACTCTTAGGCCTTACTTTAATTGATTATTTTGATTTTCTAATTTCTTCTTCTACTTTACTGCATTCCAGAGGAACATATCGTAGCCTACTTGTGACACTGTCGCATTTATTTGACAGCTACAGTTAATACGAGTTACTTCATACATTTAGATTCTACATGCAAAACATCCTCTTATAAAAATGAATCAGTGTGTATAACCTCTGTAGGTATTACCTCTACCTCGACCACCCACTACATTAACATGCTCCTTAGATGTAAATGAATTTATAAAAATAATTCAATATAACAATCTAAAAGGGGCATTTCTTTTATTTTTGCTACTTTAAGTAGCCATTTTGTGATAGTTACTCAAGTCCAATTTTGAATGCAAAACCTTTACATGTCATATTTTCACAGTTACTTTTACTAAAGTAGAAGATCTGAATACTTCACCCGACAGTGTTCATTTCCTATGAATAACGAGTGAAAACGGGTGCAATTATTGCACAAGTATTGCACCCTCCTCCCTCCACCGTGCTCCCTTCCTCCCGGCGAGAGTCCGCACACATTGTGGGATGGTGCGCGCTCCCGCAGCCAAATGTAAGTGCACCCGAGTCGGACAGACACACACTGACAGAAGATGGCGATGAGAGTGGCTATACGCTGCCTCTCTGCAAACTTTTCTCCCAGACTGCCTGTGCTCTCGTCGGCAGCGCAGGTTGCAGCGACTCGGTTGCTGTGGAGGAGCGACTCTCCGCGGACACTGAGCACGACCTCGCTCCTGTCCACAGGTAAACAATAAATAAATAAATACGTAAACAAACCACATTTATATGGCTGTCCGAAAGAGCTGCAATGTTACATACTAACATGCGGGGCTGCTGCTCTCACATTCCTGTCTGTCTGCAATGGGCGAAACAACTCACGCAGTTTGTGGAGAAACTTTCCCACAGCGGAAGAGGGGAAGTGCAGGGAGGGTGGATAGAAGTTTGTTTTTTTTTACACGGAAGTGGCTGTTAAGCATAAAAAAAACTTTAGCAACCGCATTTTATGTTTTCTAAATTATACAACAAGGACTTGTTTTTGTCTCTATTTGATTTAATTGGAAACCAGCCATATTACGAGCTCCAAATTGGTTGATTAATTAACGTAAACAACAAATGACCCAGGCTAGGCCTTAACGCTTATTAAACAGAAGTCACCCATGATCCTAGATATGTGCCACAGATAGCTGTGGGGTGATGAATTGCATGTGTGGGGCCTACATGTGGTCTAAAATGTCAACAATTTCATTATTTTTCACCCAGTTGTTGCTTTCAATCATTATTCTTCAAACCTGTGAAATGTAAAAAGCTTTTTTTTAAGGCTCTCGTAATATTTAAAAGGCATTTCCTCAGCCCTTTACAGCAGAAATATTCTGCTCTCCCCTGTCATGCATCAGTGTCTTCTTCACAATCTGGTTCAAACCTTTATTTGTATGCATGGTCCGATGCCAACAGTGGAAGTTGTTGAGTCATTGTGCTTCTTCCCTCAGGGTATTTTAAAGATGACAGCATGAGCGTGGAATCAAAAACTGCCTTAACTCCAGCTTTTCTTTTCTTTTTTTAACTGCACATCAACCAGATACCGAAACACTGATGGACAGGATCCACAAAACTGCACCTGCAGAGCACTCACGATTTTGGACATGGTTCATTTTTTAGGTTGCCTCATTGCAACCTGTAAACTACAGACTTGTTATTTTTAATTGAAAGCACATGGTGTTGCATCAGAAACGGCCTTCTCTTCTGCTTTGGTCCATAGTTTAGTGAGATGTTCTTTGGAACATCCAAATGATGTGCTTTCAGCCTCCATGTACTCCACGTGTTCTTATCGTTGTCAGAGCCGTGTCACATTCACTATTCATAGTTTCAAGTTGTATTTGAAAGGTGCTGTATACATGAATCTATTATCCTGTTGTTGACTCTCACTAATAAATGAATCGGTTCCAAGCTGAACTATTCCCTTGTTCTCTCCGCAGCCCTAAAGTTCACAGACAAGCACGAGTGGGTGCGAGTGGAAGGTGGAATTGGCACGGTTGGTATCAGCAATTATGCTCAGGTAGGTCGATGGCTCTTGGTATTAATCTTTTGATTTATGACACAATTGGTTCAGAGGTTTATTGGTGGCAATCTAAAAATGGTGGAATGCTAATGTCTGCAGTTCAGCACTGCACTTTGTCCACACCTGCAGCACCTGTCCTAACAAACTAATCTACTGTTTTATGACTATTGTTTGAGACAATTGATGACCGCCAAAATGCAGCGCTGTGCAGAAAATCTCAAGGACGTTTTAAAAACTTTGACGGCAGGTGTGTTTTAGTCTTTGGCTTGAATGCAGCCAGAGAAACGGCTACTGTGCTCGGAGGCGTTGTAGTCACATGTCTGACCTATTAAACAAATTATTTCATCTCTGCTGCTGAACGGACAAAAGTTATTTAATGTGAAGCAGTCTACTGTGTTTGTTGTTGCCGACACTGCAGATGTAATATCTGTGGAGGAAATTATTTATATGGTCAATTATTGAAAGACTTTTTCAGTCATGTCCACCTCGAGGTGTTTTACTACCTTTTTGTTTATATTCATTGAGCCTCATATCACCGCTGCGTTCAAGAAGAACTGCTCATCAACTGGATGTGATTGTCTCTGAGCAAAGTGTGGACTTGTATTGTACTCTGGAACGTGAACTTTGAGCAGAACTGTGATTGTGTGTTAAACTCACAGCATCTTGGAAAGGTGAACTGTAAATGAAAGGCCTAATGGAGCAAACGAGTACGACTAGTAGTTTTCTCAGGGTGTTGTAAAAGTATAAACTAAAGTATAAGAACCAAGTCGGTGTTCCTGCACTTCTCTAAAACTTTAAAGTTTGTCGAGGCTTCAACAATTCCAGAGTCTCAAAATAGTTTCCTTATGTTAGACTGCTCCTAGAAATGTAATGTTGCCCAAAAATATATTATTATAGAAACTTAAATTCGTAATGGAAAGCTCATTTCAGATGGCCAGGGACAATGTATTCAGTCACTGTCGGCATCTTAAACACTCATTTTAAGATGAAATGGCGTCTTTATCCCTAGGTATAGCAATTCCAGTTTATTGTGTATGAACGAGTGGGAGAAAGGTTTACACCTTTTTGTGACGTCAACAGTTTGGGTCCAGTATCTTTGCTTCAAAAGTATTGATCAGGCTGACTGGGATTAGCTGCACTTTATAATAAAGTTACGCCAGTAATCTCAGTAGATTGTGTCCATGCTGCAACAGTCTGCAGGTCGAGATGAACTGATTTCTTATTGCTGATTGTGTCTTCACTGATGGCCCTGAAAATCTGACTCTATGCTGTCTTTTAAAAAATGTCGGTGGATTTATAGAATAAGCCTACTAACAAGTATTGTCTGTGTGTATAGTTTTATATGTTGCTTATTCCTCTGGGCCAATGGGCTCCATCGTTGTTTAAAAAATGATTAAACAAATCACTGTCCTGCTGCTGTATGTGGTTTAAAAAATAATCCCCAGCAAATGGATTATTTACTCCCGTCTTCAGTAGAAACCGCCTGATCCTATTTTAAAGTGCAGAATTGTAAGACATTCTTGGATAACTGTTTTTACTCACTTTATATAATACTATGTATATTAAAATTATGTTTTATTATCTTAGGAAGCATTAGGTGACGTGGTGTACTGTGGACTCCCTGAAGTTGGCCAAAGACTTGAAGTGTTGGGTAAGAGCCTGGACTACACGGCACATTTCTGAAAGTAATTCCAGCAGTGTGATAAGAAGTATCCGTTATGTTGTGTGTGTGTGTGTGTGTGTGTGTGAAATGTGCGTGTTGTAGAGGAGTTTGGTGCCTTGGAAAGCGTGAAGGCTGCCAGTGAGCTATACTCGCCACTGGCAGGAGAAGTGACTGAAATCAACACAGGGCTGGCAGAGAATCCTGCACTCGTGAATAAAGCCTGCTATGAGGAGGGTAATCGTCTCGCAGTCTCTGTTCTTCAGTACATTTCTCCCACTACATTTGTTGCCAAGATAGATGAAAAGTTGCCAGACCAGAACAAGGTAACTGCTTGTTCATGAGAACATTTTTTTTTTTAAGTGTATTTAATTATTTTTCAGGGTGGCTTATCAAGATGACGATTGAAAAGCCTGAAGAACTTGAAGGCCTCATGGATCAAGCTGCATATGATTCTTTTATAATGTCACTTGAAGAATAAATGGATAAACTCCACTGTGCTGTTTTTATAATGTAATTGCAATCAAAGATTAGTAGGCAGGGTTACTAACATCTTGTGTGACACTCTATTTATTTTGATACTGAAATTGTGCTGTCAAAATAATAAAAAAACATCCTCACGAGCATCTAAGGTTAGGATTTGCTTAGCCACTAGCCAACCAAAAGGGCTCCTAATCTCCAGATCTGTCGGTACATTGTTTCTAATGCTTTGCTCCATGTGGGAAATGCCCGGGAAGTGATTGTAAGAGCCGTGTCACATTCATTTAATAAAATTTGGTCCTTTCACCCCTGTGATTTTCTTTTTGCCCCTCGTCTGTGAACTCACTTTCAACTTTAAAGTTGAAGCAATGTGTTGTGATGCCTTTAGTGTCAAGATGAGACAAAGTCACACAAGGACAACGCAAGTTCAACTTTAAGAGAAGCTCATGCAGAGTTTGTGATGAGCTGTAGGCATGTTCATGTCCGTGTTGCTCTACATGTTCATGTCCGTGTTGCTCTACATGTTCATGTCCGTGTTGCTCTACATGTTCATGTCAGTGTTGCTCTACATGTTCATGTCCGTGTTGCTCTACATGTTCATGTCCGTGTTGCTCTACATGTTCATGTCCGTGTTGCTCTACATGTGCTTCTTCTTTTTGCTTGATATGGTTCCACACACCTTGACCTTTGCCCTGTGTGAAGACAGGCAGAGATTGCAGTCGATCAATGATTAATGAAGCGGTGAACAAAAAAACTGCACTCAAGCTGAAAATGTGAAAATTAGAGCAGTAATTGGTTTTCTTGGTTAAAACTGAATAATTGAAATATTGTCACTGGGGACATCTAGTTCATTTCATATGACATTCCTACTAAATCTGTAAAAAAGACTTATTTTGAATTATTTTATTTATCAACCAAATATCCTTGCAATGCCTTCCTTTTCAAAGAGGTCTGTTGCGCTGACCTATTTGTGTACGATCCAGGTCTCGCATCCAAACTTGACCTGTCTCCACTTAACATCCTGTAAAAAATGTCTTGAATGTATTCACATGTGATCAGACTTGAGATTAGTAAGAAATAAGTAAATATCAGATGGCTTTCATTAAATCTTTCTAGATATAGTGATGTGAGCTTTATCATTAAATGTCAATGACTTGTAGTACTTAAAGTAGTGTGCTGCACAGCAACACTCTGTCACGGTGTGCTGAAGGTTGCACATGAAGCACAAAATCAAAAAATCATTTCCCAAGTCAGTGCTGTTCTGATTTATGCTCATAATTAACATTTCACAGAGGGGAGTGTTTTTTGCATGTGACCATAAATCTAAACTGAATATAAACTAGTATGTCTTCATTATATCAATTTGCAGAGCAGTTATGCTGACGCTGTTGTCTGTCCCTTCAACATGTGGAAATGAAAGCCTTGTCTTCATATTCTGAGGGTTTTTGTTGTTGCTTCATGGATGGATTATGAGACAATGGGTCATAGATATGTAAATCCTCCCCACTACCTTCCAGAAAACAACCATAATAACAGTTAACATGAATACATATTAAATCACAGATATACTATTCTTTCTCAATATGAAAGGACTCTGATCAGGAGCAAGAGCAAAACAAACAAAAGAATCAGGTCACCGCTATTACCTTTAAACCTGGGCTTAGGGCCACCCCGACCCCTTGGGCCACTGGGCCTGTGCTGTTAATCCAACTGCTGCAGTTGTTGTGTGACACTTTGGTTTTATTGAGTTAATATGTGACACACGGTGGTAAATAAGACACATCATACATAATTCTTTATCTTTTCTAGTCTTTTGGTCTTTCACAACTAATATTCAAAACATAGAAATTACCAGTTTGAAAGATTTATCTTTGGTCATTACTTATAGCTGATACCCTGCTACCATAACGTGATTGTCTTTGTATACTGTCCAGCACAGAAAATAATAGTAAGACTGCTGCTGGCTGCTAATGGAGGGTGCTAGGCCTACATCTAGTGGCCAGGGCAAAACCTTCCCCTCTAATTGTAAGTCAAACTTGTGAACACAATTACACTACATTATTGTACTGTAATGAACACAAAATGGCATCATGAAATAATTTCATTAAACATTAGCTTGCAAAATAAATTGTAAGTGTACCAATGTGAGTGCATAATTGAAAAGCTTTACAAACGCAAATTTAATATTTATAAAACATTCACAGCATGCTTAAAAATAATACACACTTGTAAATTAAGAGGCTTTAAAGGTGTTAAAGTGTAATTGTATGGCTACTATCCTAGTCCGATCTTTGGTGCCAAAATAGAAGTGCATAAATCATATGATTAATAAATCTCCACTATTTTTGGAACTCCACTTTCCAAACCTAAATGCAGCCTCATTAACTGCTGTGGTATTGGAAATATTTTAAGAACCACAGAAAAAAATATTGATAAATAATAATACATTGATATTGTTATGATAGCATACAACAGGTTTAATTTCCCTGCAATAACAAAGATGATTAAAGTGTGGTTTATACATTCTTACTTCCAGTTTTCCTTAATCGAAATTATTCCTTCTGTGTACGGTTTAAACGTGATTTCACGTTTTATCCATAGGAAAGTATTCATGCATATTAATCTGTTAAGATACCAACAACATATTTGTTTGGGGTGCATGTATTGCACAGGGAACATCGAAAGACGTCAAATAGCAGGATTATCTGGATTTTCATAATATATATTTTCATCACAATGGCTTAATTTTATATTCCCTATTCTTACATGAAATAATCGGAAACATTTGTGTTACATTTTACGTTTTGTCGGATGTTCTTTGTGAGGATAACCCTCATTTATATACTCTTTGATCGAGTCTGTTCGGCCATTGGCTGTTTTACCCATATCCCACAATCCACCGCGTTCCAACTTCCTTTTTCCTTTCGGCCATTTTCCTCCCTAGTAGGTGAGATATTTTTTCTCTACATTTTCAGAAATAATCTACTCTAATCCTTGTAGTTTTATCGATATATGTTCATTTGAAATACAACCTGAGATAGGACGTTTCGCCACCTTTGTAATAAGGTGATTATTGTCTTAAGATTTCCTTTGTAAATAGCTCAACAACATCTGTTTTAGTAGTGATCCCCGGGCGAGTGGTGTTTATGTGTGACTGTTAGCGCACACCGTGATAGGCCGAACTATAGCGCCATATTGTAATGTCCCATGAAATAAAGTTCAGTATACGTAACGAATGCAGAAATGGCAAGGACGAGTTATCGTGGGTCGTAGCAGCCGCATGCAGGAGTTGCCTATCAAATCGGCCAGTAACCTCGCTAACCTGCTAGCTTAGCATCGCCGTTGTAGCCTCGGATAATCGTGGTGTGCCGGCATTGAGAGTCGGCTCATGTCCGTGTGTCCTTCTGTTTTCGCAGGGAAGTAGGAAGCCATGGCCCCCAGCCGGAATGGAATGCTCTTGAACCCTCACTTCCACAAAGACTGGCAGAAAAGAGTGCGCACCTGGTTCAACCAGCCAGCCAGGAAGCTCCGCAGGTGAGAACCGTCTCGTGCTTGTGATACATTGAAGCTGCACGCCGCCCAGTCGCATCATGGTGGAGTAGAAAATACCAACTCTGTTGGCAGGAATAAATTAAATATGATGACTTATTTGGTAAAAGGAAACTTATACGTGATCCGTTTTTTGTTTGCACGGACATAAAGTAATGCATAATAACCTGAAGGTGGGCTCTACACACATTAAATAGTGGATATGTGTCTTGTAATAGTCAAAACCAGGGTCTTTCTTGAAGGAAAGTATCGGTATGTATTGTCTGCTAACATCTCAGGTTATTGTCTGGGAACACCTCAGGTGTTCTATAGCAATTTTACTCATCGGGGTGTATTTAACATTAGCAACATATGCAAAGTGTTAAATTGGTGATCCTGCTTTGATGTGACTACATGTGCAGTTCAAATTGAGATGTTTTTATTTAGATGTTCTTATGATTTTGAGGGTGAGATGTCTGTAAACCTTTTGATAACCTCTTGCAGAGCCCCCCCCCCCCACGATAAAACCACCACAATTTATGTAATGATTGATGTTAAACACTAAATAGTCAATTTCCGTGTTGGATGTGGGAGAAAAGTTTTAAGACAAACATACAGAACATAACTATTGGTAATTGTGCCAATTCTGATATTTAAAGAAGCAAAAAACTGCTAAACATTCAGCAGATCATGCTTATTTGGACTGCTGTGTCTCTGTTGCATCCATTCATTACATCTAGTCATACCTCAGTCATGCAATACTAGCCCCCCCAATTCTGTTATTTGCTGTATATTTGAGATGGTGGGAACACAATCAAGAGTATGCAAAACAGACTTGTATGTTTCTTGGTTCCTTGGACCGAAAGCGACCCCTTCTGTTGCTGTGGGTTTAATTACGATACGTCTTTCTTTAGGCGAAAGGCTCGTCAGGTTAAGGCCCGTCTCATTGCTCCCCGTCCTGTTGCTGGACCCTTGAGGCCACAGGTCAGGTGTCCCACAGTCAGGTACCACACCAAGGTTCGTGCCGGACGTGGCTTCACACTGGAGGAACTCAAGGTAATACCGTCTATTTGTTGGTTGATGGTAGTTTTACACGCAGGAATAATTAATCAACAATGTCACTCTTTAACTATTTTATCCCAAAATATTGGCCACTGTTTGATTACTGAATTTAGTCCGTCAACACCAAAGGGAAATGTAAAGCAGAAAAGTAACTGTCTGTTATCGGGTAGAAATTTAGCATGAACTAAACTGTAAAACTTAGCAGAAATGCTATTGATCACTACTGTGGATGCAAACAACAAACTCGACCTTTCTGTGATGAATCATGCATCCCACCCAACCAATAAAACACTCGGTAGCTGTAGAAAAACATGAAGGCTGCTCAAAGATGTGCTGTTCTTGCCAAACTGTACCTTCCATTCCTCCCCTGTACTTGCCTGCTGTGGGAGAAAGGCTAAATAAATGTTAAGGTGCATCGCCCCAGAACATGTAGACTTCCTTCACAAGTACGCTCAGAAATGAGTACTAGTGAGGTGTTTTTTACTGATCAGCATACTTTGTACACTTTACGGTATACCAGTACTCATTGCTTTCCTGTCGGACCTCATTTTCAGTAATACAATTTAGTTCAAGCACCAGTTTTATTCAAGTTGTAGAGGAAAACCAATTCCCATGGTGAAGTGAAAGCACAAGTCAATGTGCATTCAATGCTGAGCTGCAAGCTTGCAGCATTGTTGAGCAAGTTGAGCATCGTCCCATGTACATAGAATATAGCATAAAGCACCTGGGCTAGCATGTCATTATTGACAGACGTGCAGAGAAATGTAAGAACCATCTTGTGTGTTTTTTGCGTCACAGCGGTCAGATGATGACAAATCTCCGGAATCTCTGTATTTTCTTGATGAATACTTTGAACCTTTTATCTGATGACTGCTCTTTATTACTCAAAATAGAAAATATAATCGGCATCTTATCGAGTTCTTATGTTTAACTCTTATTGTGCTGCGATCCTCCCTACAGGCAGCTGGCATCCACAAAAAGACAGCTCGCACCATCGGCATCGCAGTCGACTCTCGCCGCCGCAACAGATCCTCAGAATCTCTTCAGGCCAACGTGCAGCGCCTGAAGGAGTACCGCTCCAAGCTCATCCTGTTCCCCAGGAAGGCTTCTGCTCCCAAGAAGGGAGACAGCACTGTAAGTTTCTCCTTCATGGAACATAACGATTAAAAAGAAACTTCCCATCCAGTCTCAAAACCATGTGACAGACTGTAGTTGTTGTGAATGAATTGTTTTATGTTTTGATTGTGTGGTAATTTTCCTGAGAAAAACAAGTGCTAAAACATTCATCCAAGGCATGTGGTTCGTAAGAGTGAGTCATCCTTAAAATTCGAATAGCCCTCTCAAGTGTTTGTTTACTATTGCTCCGTCTTATGAAAATGAATAACAGCTTTTACACAAGCTTTTAAGAGTAATGTGTGAAAACAAAAGAACCCCGTGTAAAATTAGACTTTATTCCGCATGCATTTTGAAATAATGAACTTTATCAGTTTAGCACCAATAATGAACATGTAGAGATTTGTATGAGGGAGCTCAAACCCTAACCTGTGTCCATGTATTTTAACTTTTCTAAATGCAGTACAGAGATCACAGTCCTCCATAAACTCTGCAGGACACGTTTTATTGAAGGCCAAACACGGCCTCATTTGACTGCACCCTTATTGACATCAGTTCCCATCAGTGTTCATTAAGATGTTATGTTACAAGCATTGCTGTTATTTTTTTATTTGAGTAATTTCACAACACCCAAGTGCTGGCTAGATGATTATCTGCCTCATAGCACGTCTTACTGTGTAATATGGATGTTTTTTCATTGCCATGAAGAATGAACTGTTGGTTTCTCTTTTTAGGAGGAGGAACTCAAGATGGCCACTCAGCTTAGTGGTCCAGTCATGCCCATCAAATCAGTAAGTCTTTATTCCTTAAAGATTCCACCAGCACCCAACATATCCAAAAGTGATGCATTTTAGGTGGAAAATGAGCCTGCATTTCTATCGTTGAAATCGCTCCCCGCCTCCATTAAACCGGCTGTGGTTTTGCCATTATGTCGTCACTGATGACATCAGAAATAAAACCCAAAATGTCTTTGTTTTGCATCGCAGCGGTCAGATGATGACAAATCTCCGGAATCGCTGTATTTCTTTGATGAAACATTTGAACCTTTTTTCTGATGACTGCTTTTTTACATTGGCTGGATTTTGTTGGATATATAATTAAGCAATATGTGAAAAATCACTCACGCGATTGTCTCCTTCTTCTCCCAGGTGCAGAAGACGGAGAAGGCTCGGATCATCTCTGAGGATGAGAAGAACTTCAAGGCGTTCGCCAGCCTGCGTATGGCCCGCGCCAATGCTCGTCTCTTCGGCATCCGTGCCAAGAGAGCCAAAGAGGCTGCTGACCAGGACGTGGAGAAGAAGAAGTGAAAATAGCCGCTATGGAACTTTGCAGAATAAAGTGTTAAAAAAAGATCAATGTGAGAATGTCGTGATTATGATCTCTTTTTATAGTTTTCATGGTGCAGCCATAGATTAGAGGTGTTGATGGAATAGAGCCACTCAGCTGATCGGGGAAGTGTCTGTCTAACAACTTTTAAAGATGTAAACGGACACGGTGTGACGTATTGATGTCAAATGTGTTAAAATAACAGTTGGGTTCAGATTGCACCTCTGACGGTAAGAAGTTAAACTAATGAAACGGTGTCCAGAATATACATTTATTTCAGCCGTAACATTTTCTTATTTTGCGACCCGGGGATAGAAAAACGAGATAAAAACAATGAGGACAGATGTTTAGGAGTAAAGCTGATGGCTAAAAATGTCCTAATATGAAAATATCTAACACAGCGGGCCGTTGGACTTGTCGCGGTAAGAGAAGCGCAGGTGTTAATCACTAATGATGGCGCCGTTGTATTTAGGTGTCCAGTATGACGGGCAGCATGCACAATTCCAGGACTAGAAAACAAAAGGCTTATAAACCGCATGAGCAAATCTTACTTTGCAGACGTTTCAGTTACTTAAAAGATTTGATCCCTGGACAGCTGTGGGGAGTCACGTCAGAGTTTGGTTCAAAAGATAAAAATGTAGTTTTTCCCACTCGCTGTACTTCCAAGTTCACTGATAATACATTGACATCTGTCTGAAGTGCGCAAGATATGAACTAAAATGAAATTTTGGGTCTAAATTCTAAAATTTGGTTCATATTTGCAGCAGTAGGTGGCACTAGAGGCACAAACTAGCTCACTAACAGAGACAAAAACATTTCGGAGCACGGTTTGACTGTAATTGAGGATTTTAAATGTATTTTTTGATGGCAGGTTTTAACCTGATGTGTCAGTGTAATTGCCATACAACGAAACAATGTATTACTAGATTAATTTGGTCAGTGTCTTTGCAGTTATAGAAGGTAGCATGTGACAGAAACTGATGCATGTTCATTGACACTTAACTTATTACGTAAACCAATTAAGAGGCTTTTTTTTACAGTCAGGACAACAAAAATACAGACATTCTTGAGCATTTGTCTAAACCAAGAAGAGCCTCTTAAACATGACGGACCGTTATATTAAAATACTTGTACACCTGCATTAATTAGTACAGGTGATAGAAGTCAAGTTCATCGACAGCCGTGGAGACAGAGGAAGCTCATGAGGTGGAAAGCGAGAATAAAAATCTCATTCCACTGGGACAATATTACACCAGGCTTCTGCACGGGGGGGGCAAAGTTCAATTCTAATGTTCATATTGGAGGTTATGTGCTGGCAGACATGAACCACAACAGACTTACTACAAAACATTACCATGACAACAGTGAATCTGGACATTTCTAAACTGTGCTCATGTTGTTCTGATCAATGAATAAATAGAAAGTTAAACAACACAAGTGCAGGGAACCTCCCACTCAAATGCATCCATTATAAAATGTCCACTTCCAAAAATGATCCCCAGTCAACATGCACAGACTGAAAAAATCTGGATGCGGTGAGATTGACTGTCCTTGTCTGTGTCTCCTTTACGGTCTCCCTGTGTTCTATCTGCCTGAACACAAATAAATAATTCAGTTAATGAAGGTGAGTGGGCAGTGGAGACATTTTGGACCAGAGGTGATTGATACGCCTGAAATAGAAACTCACATGGGTAGTTCTATTTATCCTGGGGATAGCAAAATAATCTGTGTACTAAAACACAACACAACAGGACACTATGGGTTTTGAGAACCATTTCCTCTCACCACCTTTCCTAAATGTGTCGTTTAAACCAAAACGACTCCCACATTTCATTAATCGCCAGCGATGAGAATTGCGTTTGTCCTCTGATAAACTACATATAAAAGCAACACCAATATCAATCAAATATTACTTGTGATGCAAGATTTGCTGTAAATGTTTGTCTATTGACAGAAAATAAATGGGCAACAAATTTGATAGTTGATCATTTGAAGTCTTTCCTCATACATTGAACATTCTCTGATTATTTCCTCTCAAATATCCCACTATCCAACTGAAATAAATGAGGTTGCATGTATGCAGTATCAGCTTCACTCCTGATGAATTGTGTGTATCACCTTTACTATGTAAAAAGGGAAAGGAGATCTTTGTATTTGTAGGTCAGTACGGCAAATATAATAAGCTGTTACTGGAAGTAGAGTCTGCTGAAACTCAAGCTCAGTGATTGATTACCATTAACAAGGATGTGGATGCTGGCCTCACCAATAAGATAGACTTTAGAATGGATAGTGTCTTTGAAAATATCCCCAAAAAACTACATTTTATGTACAAAAATACCCCGACTCAGAGGCTGCTGGCGGAAAACTGGATGACGTTACACCAACACAACGGAGCTATAGTTTGACTGAAAATGTGAGTGTGTCGGGCCATTTTAAGAGTCTATTTGGATTTGGGTTATTGTACATGCAATGTGGTCAGTGGCTGGCGAGAAGCAGCGGGGGGGGGAATCTGAACAGATAATCCATGTGTAAATGTAGGAAACGTCCTGTGAGGTGCTGAACCGACACAGCAGCAGCAGCAGATGGCTGTTGTTTGGAGCTGTGGCGTAACAAGGCTCAGGTGTGAGCCCCAAAGCAGACACTTCTTACTCTGAATACCCACGGAAGAAGACGCAGTGGGGTTGAAAAAACGGCAGAAGAGAACATGACTTTAGGTGATGGCCATGTCATAAAGCAGACGGTTTTTCATGTTTAACACAGTGTGTGCAGATCCAGGCACGGATTTGTTACCTTTGTTGAAAGGGTTACACTAACCTGTGGGGGGGGATTTGGTGTGGTTTTTGTGTTGTTTGGTGTGCAAGTTGCATGGTTGCTTAACAGAGCAGATAATTAAAAAAGCAGGGAGCCAAATGTTTCACTTTTCAAGCTGTCTGAATAATTTGATTGACCTGCCGGCCTGTACACTACTTCATTTTGCCAGCTGAAAGCTCCTGAGTGGCTCATCTCTCAGAGAATCAGTGCTCTTGAAATAAAAAACATTCGTAAAGCAAAGCTCTAATGAAAAAATAAGTTCTTTCAGTCTGAATGACATGAAGGAATCATGAAATATCAAACCCTTCAGGCACAAAATGCAACAACAGCTGAAGCCTACATATTTATACTGTCATAAAGTGCACTATAATCACTCAAGGTACTTTTAAACAGTCAAATAAAAGCTTTTACTTTCTGTCTTGCACTGTGTTCTGATGAGGCCAAATGTGATAATTTAGTCAATTTCTTTAGCTGCTTTGGCTTTTGTGGCCTTGGCTTTTGTTTTGCAGAAACTGGAGGGCTGATGTTTTGTCAGTGCAATCTGAAAATCTATAAACGTTATGTAATGTCTGGAAATACATTCATGAAAAGAATACATTTGTGGGTGGACTGTGAAAAGGTTCAAGCATAAACGTTGTGTCGAAACAATACTTACATAACATACATTGCTGTCAACAAAATCTACACACTGTCAATCGGCTCATGACCATTTTAATGTGAGTGACACCAGGCATGTGCATGTAGAGGCTACACGTGGGTGTATGCGTGTGCGTGTCTCCATGTGATGAAAATAAGAGAGCAGAGAGTCACAGGTCCAAAGCTGTCTGGAGCTCACACATGGACACGTGGTTGTGATGTGCTGCTGCAGGACAATCCATTTAAGTTCCTGTTGTTTTGCTGTGAAATGTCTCACATTTGTCCCCGCTATTTTTTTTTTTTAATCATCGAGGTGTGGATAAAACCTGCCAGGACCAGTTGATTTAGACATCAACTGTCTTCTTTTCTGATTGCAAATTGACAAACTATAGATCTTAGTGAGAGGATTTAGATTGTGAGCTAGTTGTTGGCACATCTGTCTATTTGGTGTCACATGCTTACCGACTGTATGCAGAACTATGCCGTGTATGCAAATATGTAAACATGACCAAAGTGGTAATGATGGAACCACATATAGGCATGTTCAGTGTGACACATTATTACATGGCTGAAGCTGGAGAAAAATCAGATTGACATTAAAAAACCCCTCTAGTGAGCCTCCAGAGGATTGCTGGGGCAAAGAGGTTAACTTCAACTAAGTGTGAGAGATATTGCATGTCTTGCCCTTAGATTTAAATGTATTTCATTGATTTGTTCATAATTCATAAGTTCACAGCCTGTCAGCAAATCACACAGACACTATGCATATATTTTAACGGATTTAACTCTGCTGTCAGGCTTTGTGAAAGCTGCCAGATACTCATACACATTAAATGCCCCTCTGATGCATTTCCATAGCATAGTGTCCTGTTTTTAATGATGGATTTTGAATTGAACTCCCAATAATCGAGTCCCAGCGAAAGCCCCATCCTTACATCAGCAGCTGGACTCTCTCCACTCCCCATCGCTCCACAAGCAAAGCCGACTCCCTCCTCACCAGCGAACCAATGAGTTTCGGCGGAGAAGGAAAAAAAAAAAAAAATCAAGCAGTGTGTTATGAGAGAGGATTAAAACAAGTGTGCTTAAGAGTAAAGAACAACGACAGGTAGGAAGTGAGTTTTTGCGCGTTTAACTTGATCTTCAGCGGTTTATCGGTGTTGACGAGGGGGGTTAAGTGCGGTTGTTTTGATCAGCTGTATGTCTTCTTATCGGAAGTGAGTAGGACAATGACAAACGATGTTGTCAAAGTAGACGGGTCATTTTCAGTACGACGCTTCGCTGATTGTGATGAGGACAACTAAAGCCAGGTCGTCATTGTGCGACCCCGATGGTTAACTGGATTTTCAAGGATTACAGATTTGTAGCGGAGTTGATTCATTGTGATACATTATTAAGAAACCATTCAGGAGTGTTTCCTGTATCGCCTTCATTATTAAGTTGTTGTCATGATACGGTAGAGGACGTGTTGCTTTACCAAAAGGCGTTTTTTGTTTTACATTATAACTTTTGCTTCGGTCAGGATTCATAGCTTCTGAATCTGATTGTATTTCGAGCTTTATTGTGTTAAGTTTGAGATTGATGCTTTTGGGTAACATCTGGTTTCCAGACTCACAGCTGGCAAACAAAAAAACAAAAACAAAATACGGGCGCTGTCCCTGGTGCTGAAAGCCAACCGCTTACTTGTTCGTCTATCTCCTACAAGAAGAATGTGACACAGCGAGGGATGCTGGCAGATAAATGAAACCCCGTATAGCCTACTTTCTTCCCCTTAAAAACAGCGGAGCAGGGTCAGACAGCCTTCGCTCAAGCTCAAGGACACAGGGTGGATGCCTGACACAAAAAAAAATCTATGTCCTTTTCTTAGTTTATCCTCCGGGCAATAAAGCCACACAGCAACGTGTCTGCTAGAATCCTGATTTTATCTGCCACTTTAGCTTTTTTCATCATTTCTTCCATTAAAATCTTTTGTTTTCTCATGTTTTGAACAGGAAAGAAGACAAATAGTGGCATTCAGAAAATAATAATATGAAGTCTATTTCTTTGTATGTATTTTTGTGCATAGCGCTGTAATTCTGACTTTTTTAATGGAATTAGGAGCATTTAAAAAGAGGACGCACCAGATTTGACCATCTTAAATACCTTTTTTCCAGGGATCTGATCCAGACTCCTGAAAGACACAAGCCTTCATGTCCTGTCTTTCGTCATTACTGAGGTGAGATGATACTCCTCACGAGGGGATAGCTCTGACAGGCAGTGATAACAGATTGGGTTTGCTTTGGTCCCCTGGGACTCAACAGGAACCTCTGTTCTTTTTCATGACATCTGTACCAAGTCAAAAGAGCCTGTCTCCTGTGAGCGTGCCACGTCTTTACTGAAATCCCTTGACCCGGCACTACATTTTCCCATCCCTCGGAGCTCCCACATCGCACTGCTTCGCTGGTTGGCAGCTCCTCTCGCCTGTGAGCCAGGATGAATGATGTTCTGGAGGCCGTCTCCCCTGCGACCAGCCTCAGCGGTCCAGCTACCTGCGTCTCCAAAGTAGAGCTGCGTGTGGCTTGCAAAGCCCTGCTGGACCGAGACACGCTGAATAAGTCAGACCCATGTGTTATTATCATGGTGCAGACCAACGGACAGTGGACAGAGGTGAGCACCCCCACCTTTTTATATTTACATCTGACAAATACATAGGTGGACCAGTTGGGAAAAAGTGTGAACCTACTCAAAAACCATATAGGCAGCAGTATGTAGCTTTTAAAAATTAATCCACCATGATTTATTAATCTCCCTATCTGAGTCATTAACATGATTTAATGCGTAAAGAATCGTGCCTTGAATCCCACATACATAGAGTTGTTCAAATTACAGCTCCTTGGGGGTGATCTGAGCAACATGTTTTCTTAATGGTTACACAGACTTGTTGTACAGAAAGAAACTGAGAGGGCACAGTTGGCCAGCCTTCCCTCTGTTGCCTCACAAATCTGGAAAAGCTCAGATTTTAAGATGAAGCAGTGGTGATGTGTGGAATGCTATACATTGGGAGGAATTTTCAGTCCCACTCCAGTTATACCTAAAATGTGTGTTGTGGCACAAGCTCGACCAGTGAGATACATCTGTTAATGGTTTGCTGAACTTGCAGCTGTTTGTCACTCTTTCGGAAAATGTTCATGGCTTACACAACAGCTGTCTGATTCAGTCTGTCTCCACATTTCACTAAGTTACAGCAGATTGTTCAGTCTGCTCTCTATATATTTCACCATGTGTGGACAAACAGTGGGTTGTTAATAAGCAGTGTGATTAGGTGTGTTCCAGCTGAAAATGTTTACTTTCTTGGACTGGTCCCAAGCTGATTTGGAGCGTAGGCAGCAGGTCTCTCATTTCCCTGTTAATTAAGTCATTTAGCTCATTAGGGAAAGCCAAAGCACAGGTCTCCAATAAGTAGAGGATGTGTTAAAACATGGCAGAGGATATCTAATTACACAGATTTTCTTTCCCCTGTTACCCTTTGTCCAACAAAAAGCTATCTCAGATTCCTGCCACGCACGAGAGCCATTCGTTGTTTGGTCTGTATGAATGTGGAGATATTATTATGATAAAAACACTCGGCCGGCAGTGTTGAGCACACAGTTATGGATTTTTCTTGGTTGTAACTTGATAGGAGGCTGTTACATGAAAATGACTGACCTGGGTTCAATGTAGCATGTATGAGTGACTATTTTTAGCTCCACTAACTGAAGCAAATTCATATGATATTAAATAACGATGATGCACACTCACACAGTGCAGTATTACAATTACACTGTCAGAAGAGCTGTCTGTCTGTGTCTATCTATGTTTCTATGTAACTATCTATGTATGTATGTATGTATGTTTCTGTCTGTCTGTCTGTCTGTCTTTCTGAGACTTGCCAGTCATGACAGTGTACAGAAATTGTCCAATCCTCCGCTGTCAAATCCCTCAGTACTGGGAGGCACCATAAATTGTTACTTACGTCAACAACTGAGTAAGAAGCTGAGCCCACTCATACCACCGCCACCCTCTTCCTCTTTTCTGAGCTCATAAAGTGTTTGTGACTTCAACCTGCTATTTGTCAAACATTTATTTCAATATTACCTTATTTCACCACCTGTTCACTTCCAAGGACAAACTCAGAGGCAGGCTGGAGATGACTTGAGGTTTCTTTCCACAGCAGATTTGTCTTCTTTTTGTGTGATGGTGACGCCAATCAAAACCAGATACTTCTGCTGATATCTGACCTAAGCTACAAGGGCTTGTTTTGATTGAGCTACAGAGATAACGCTCAACCTACCTGGAAGAACTGATAGATAACGCCTTCGTTTCTATGTCAGGGATCTCTCTGTAATTCTGGCCCCACTCCAACAACAAACAGGCATCACAGACTTCGGCACCATCTATCCTTCGTTGCTCTGAGAAGCTTTCATCAACAGACAGACTCATTCCAAATCTGTCGATCCAGATGGCACAAAGAGAGGAGGAGAAGGCAGGAGAACACAATAAAGAGAAATGAAGATGAATGAGGCCGAGGAAGCCAAGTCCTAGCTTGACGTTCTTCTGTTTGTGATGTTTGCCAGAGTGAGAAGGAAACAGTAGAGCAATCCCCGCTACCAGCCATCCATCGCATTTGTAATTGTCTGATTATTACTATTGTTTCCATAATACAAAGCTCAAGTGAGGTGGATGTTAACTAGAGAACTAGTCAGGTTATAGAACTGTGACAGGGACAAAGCTCTGGTTGTTTTCAACCCAGTGCTGTTTATTCTTCCGATCAAGCAAATGAAGATGTGACAAAACAAACCCTAGAGTTTAAGCAACAAATGTAAAAAATGTAATTGCAAATTGATGATTGGTTGTGTTTCGAAGATGCTCAAAAGCAAAAAGTCAACAGCAGGACAGCACTCCAATTAAATTGTTTATTCATGCATTGATGTTCAGGCAGACGCCCTTCCTTAGCGTGTAAACTGGCAACAATGTGAAACAAGGGTACAAAAAATTATAGAAATACAATAAACAAGGATAGTGACATTATAGGTTTTATAATGCAATGACATACACATTACAAATATGGCAAAAACCTGAATAAATGCAGGTGGAAGGAGTTTTCCCGGCATGGTTTTGGTCCACTTGTTCCATTAGACGGAGGGGTCACTGCAAATCAATACAAGAGTCATCACTTTTATTCCATAATGAAATATTTCCATCCTGATGGGAGGGGTCTCTTTCAGGATGATAATGCTCAAACGGAGCCAGTTGTTGAAAGATTTGATGAGTATGAAAATAATTTAAAACATCTCAACGTCACCAGATCTCAACACAAACTGAACAACTATGTGAGATTTTAGATTAGATTAAGGTGGTGCCCTCCACCACAATCATCAAAACACCAAATGTCTTTAGGAAGAATGCTGTTGACCCCAGATAGAGTCTATGACGAGAAGTACTGATGCTGTACTGGTGGCTCGTGGTAAAACAACCCCTTAAGGCGCTTGTGTGTTCGAAATTAACTTTTATATGGCAACCACTTTGGAATACACTCGAAGACGGTGTGAAAGCCTGCCGTCATAGAGGTGGGGAGATCCCGTAATCATCTGAAAATGGAGATAATGGCACACATTTTCTCTCCTGGAAATTATTCTTAGTGTTGCACTTGTTTTTGCTTGTTAAAAGTGACAGACAAAGTGAGTAAAGAAGGAAAGAAGACACAGCTTTAGAGAGAGGTTTAAAACAAAGCTTACAGTCTCAACTTGTCTGAAAAAGACTATCTCTATACCAATGCGAGAAGACAAGACATAAGAGAGCAATGTCACCGCTTTCCGATGTCATTAGGACACAAGTCTGGACTTGTATCCAAATGTATGACTATGTTTAGGATGACTACAAAGAGAATTTTACAGACTTGAAACCCTCTATAGGTCTAAAACCAGTCAACATATCAGCTCCAGATTATACCTTTTGATGGGTCGGTTCTCTCCTGTGGTTTGAGTCCAAAAACAGGCACTGAACATAAACATAACTACAGTATACCATGAAAATGAGTGTGTGGATTTCTGCTGCATGTTTGTCATTATTTAATAACTTAAATATCATGTTCCATGATGATTTGTCCTTGTGACAAATTGGGCGGCATAGACGTGTGTAGAGCTGCGTAAGAGCTGAATCCTCCGTCATGAGCAGATGGGGCTTCAGAGAGCTCAGCTTTTCCTTGTCAGGCATTGAAAGACAAGCATGGACGTTTTCTGTATGCTGTGATTAAGTGTCCGAGCCCTCCAAACTTCTCTCACATCATCCTCTTGACGAAACGTAATAACATCGGCCCTTCTGTAGTCGCTGGTATTCCTCAAAATAAGCAGGAAGACAGAAGAAGTTATGTTTTCCAGTAATATTTTCTTGTGAGATCTGTAATCCGGTGTGCTATCCCTCCATAAGGTCCACTTTTGCTTTAATCACACATGTAGTGAATTAAAATAAGAAACATTACAATGGTTAAATATATTAAATGAAAGTGTGTCTTCCCTCTCAGCTGGACAGGACAGAAGTCATCAAGAGCAACTTGCATCCGGTCTTTGCCAAGGTTCTCTCATTGGACTACTACTTTGAGGAGGTTCAGAAGCTGCGATTTGAAGTCTATGACATCCATGGCACTCATAGCATCGGGACCCGGGATGATGACTTTCTGGGTGGGGTGGAGTGTACTCTTGGCCAGGTAGGTAGATTATTTTACAAATCTATTTATTTCAGTTGTATCAGTTACATTTGTGCCCTAAAAACTGTAATGTGTCTGCCGTAAAAAATCTGAAACAAGTTTGTGGTAAATGTTGGTAGTAATTATACCTGATGCTGGTGTTGATGACTCAGCTCTTTACTGCTAAGGAAGGCTTTAGGTAAAAAATGCGTTAATCTTGCTCTTTGCAGATTGTGGCCCAAAAGAAGATGGTGAAGCCTTTGTTGCTGAAGTATGGGAAATACGCCGGCAAATCCACCATCACCGTAGGTTTCGTACTTTGTGCTCGTGACCTTGCTGCTCTGGTGAATGGCATTTGTTAGATTGCTGAATATGAAGAAAATGAAAGTTAATAGCTAATGGCCAGTGAGAGCTGAAAGAAATAATAAATGGCAAATGAATGGGTAAAATAGATTTTTGTATTATTTTACATTTGCTTCCAGTCTCACATCTGTTCTCTCTCAGGCACCATAATGGATTATACCTCTATATGCTCTCAGACTATTAAAAATAATATATTAGTATAAAGTTGAAAACAGCACTCACAGAATGGCTTCATGTTGCTGCTGCACATCGTTGTTCTTTTTTTGTAGCGGTAGCTTTTTAAAAGTATACATCCACTCTGAGTACTTTCTATATGCTAGTGTCCATCACTGGTGCCATGGCGCTCCATTCATGTTAAACGTGCCAATGCACACAGAGATGCAAGAGGAAATGATGCATGCATAAGAAATCACATGTGTCATTAACCACAATCTTACAGTTAACAAGCCAGTGGTGGTAGCATATAATAAAAAAAAGATTGTGCAGTCTTTCACTCTACCTTGTTTGAGAACACATGAGAGAGACGTGGACATGATAAGAGGACCTGCAGCACTTTTATGCAGCGCTATTATAGATAGTATTGGATCCCTGTGCTGAGGGAAAAGTTAAAGACAGACTCCTGCCAGACAGTGAACTGTGAGAATTTTCACAAGGGGATATTTTGGGGGATAGTTCAATGCACCATTGTTACGTTCCGTTTTCTTCCGAGCAATTATTTTACAAATTTCTTTTTGTCATGTTTCACACAGAAAGCGAATATTATCCGGTGAAAAAGCTGAAAATATTTTGCCCACATCTTTTATAAAGATGTTTCCCTGAACTTGGTACCTGTCAGGACAAGCTGTCTGATAAAAAGTCCAAGTTTCCTAGTTTGCCAATCATCACTGTCAAGCTGTGTCCAGCCATGGCTGAGCCTACTCTGCAGCTACAGTTCTGGCAGTTTGATGTAAAGTTTATGGCATTTTCAAAAAGAACAATGGAGAGAGAGAGAGAGAGAGAGAGAGAGAGAGAGAGAGAGAGAGAGAGCAAACTTCTGTTCTCTGTGAGTGGGCCAGAGGGAGCAGCATAGGGTGCTCGGTGATTCTTTGTAACTAACACACAGTCATAACTAAGGTCTTATACACAAAGCAGCCACTTAAAAATGTTAGAGCGCTGTTACAAGCCTTTACCGTTGCACTGTACTGTATGTGATAACTTTTATGTTCAAGCTGTAATAGCCACATTAGCTTGCATCTAATGGTGCTCTCTACTCTAATGGCCAGCATCCCGAGTTAAGTAAAAGCCACTTCACTTTGTTAACTGCTTACCACAGTGCAACCCCTACTAAAGTAAAACTTACTTTTTGTAATTTAGAGGAAAATGGCATATATTATAAAAACTCACAAAAAAATAAGTAAAGCAGTTTGTTGAAAATACTGGCACATAACTACTTTTACATTAATATTCTACATAATAATACTCTCACTATATTATATATTTCTAGAGTGGAGTTTCAATTCCGGTCACAACAGTATAGCATATATGAGTTTTTTCTTTCCTGAAACATAAATCATGTGGTTGTGATTTTTTTGCGACGAATAAATCCCATAAGCACAAAATATTACTGACAAATCGTATTTCCTCTCAGGTGCACGCTGAGGAAATTTCTGGCAACAACGGGTATGTGGAGCTCTCATTCTGTGCCAAGAAGCTTGATGACAAGGTGAGCGGAGCACATGGTTTTGATGGTAATACCAACACAGTTCATATTTTATTATGGTTTAACAGAGATAGTAGTAGCAGTAGTAGCAGTAACGTGATAATCGTGTAGTGCAACTTCAGAAAGTACCCACAATGCAGTAGCCTTGAAGGTCTGAACATATGGTATTATTTTCTAAATAATATAATTTAATGTTAAAGTGAGACAAAAAAACTGATAATAACACTTAACATCACATCTTTGTAGAGACATAATGCTTCAACATGTGATATGATATCCACGTGAAATATTATTTATTTTTTAATTCATGTGGCTTTACTTTGAGTCAGGATATCACTGACCTTAACTGCTCCTGTTCTCATGCTGTCAACCTTTACTGAAGGCACATTTCAATCATAAAGACAGCGGGAGCTTACATCCAATTACAACTCTGATGATCGGAAGTCACTCCATGTTCTTGGGAGCGAGCCCTAAGATGCCACACTCACAGTTTGCCCTTAATTCCCAGAGGTATTGGGAGAAAACTTCAAATTTTCTGCAGCATGCACATTTATTTTTTAGATTGCAGTTTGCAGTTTCCTGCTACTCTGACAGTGAAATTGAACCTGACTCTTACACGAGGGAAATTATAAAAAAAGTCAATCTTCCCCTGCATGTGATATTTGCTTCATATATCCAGTGTGCTACTGGAAGTATTGCAATTCTGCCCGGAGAGTCCACCCGATTGCTTTGTTTAAACTGATTACAGCTGTGGGCACATCACTGTGGAACTGTGCGGTGTAATCATGTACCACAGAGACACAAACGTGTTCATGTTTTCACTCTGAACAAACAATTCAGCAGCTTATTTGGAACAGAGTTTGGTTCTTGATGCCAAATATCAAACAACACTGATGTACAAAATGATAGACACTGTCTTTGTTGATGCACACAGACAATTTCTTTCTGGTTAATTAAACATCCCCTCCTTAGGTGAAGGAGGAGGTCAGAATAAACCATGAAAAGCTGGTTCTGGGACATCTTGTTTGGCTTTCTCACTAAAGTTGGGCTCATTTATGCATCATCTCTCAAACATTTAGATGTGATCAACAAACACGGGTGTGAGCTGTGTTTGCGGTCACTCATGCAGAGTTAGAATTAAGATATAAATATATTTTGGCTACAATCATGTGATTGCTTTTTTCAGTAGATACCTCCAAACTGTAGGCGTGTTAAAGCTTAGTGTCTCGTTTTCCACTCCATGTGTTAAGGCGTTAACACACCGGGAACTGGACGAATAAACACTCTAATGGATTTTTGGTTAGATTTAGCTTTTTCGCCACTTAATGCTACACTCATATGGAATCCGGCAGACGGCAAACCAGATATCATGTTAGAGGACGAGAGCAGGACAGTAAAATTAAGCGATAATACCAGCAATGGTAACGGTATGGCCGTGGAAAGTCAATGATGATGTTTTGTAGTTTAATTTAGTCACTTGTCAGCAACCGCCTTTTTTTAAAAGCTTAAAAATACACGAGATAGGAAGCCTTTTCTACTGACGTATTTTATATCGTAGAACAAAACCTTCAAATCTCTCAAGCTTGTGTTCACCACATACCTCATTTCAGGCGTCCAAACAAAACCCCATTCAACCCATTGAATTTGAGACGAAGGAACCATAAGTGCCAAAATGCAAAATAATTTCCCGGTTTTAGAGCGCATTCGTGCACAACTCGATGCCTTTTGAGTGTAGCTTTAACTGGTTACTTCATGCAAACAAAGATATTGTACAGAAGGTAAACGTGGATGTCAACAGGTCACACAATAAACCTGTTTAACATTATTGTGATCAAGTTCCCATTATTTGATTTCATCGGCAATCAGATGTAAATCATGCTCATTTTCTTAACAAAGCAAATTAGAAGCCACTAATCTGGCAGGTTAATGTCGGACGTTGCAATTTATCAAACAGATGATGACTGAGGCAGCGAACTGCTTCTAATTAACTGCTTGTTGTCTGTATCACCTCAAACTGCTGTAGATATTGAAGGATCACATTACAGATGTTGATGAGCAGGAGGATTAATGATGAGATATCATAACTGGCCCAGGATTAGATTTTGACATCTGCGTCCGTGCCGCTGATGACTCCTGGCTAGCGGTTGCCATGACAACAGAGAGAGGATGCTACATCCCTTTTTGTTTGACTCCCTCAGGAGATGTATCTGGCTAATGTGGCGGGAAATGCAGCATTAATCGTCTCATTTGGTGTGCACAAAGCCCCCTCACCCGCAGCCCCCCCCTCCCCTTCCAGTCACACACAGTCACACACACGCACACACACACACGCACACACACACACACACACACACACACACACACACACACACACACAC